TATTATCTTTTAAAGAATATATTATATTTGTTCAAAAAACTTTTACTTGACGTATAAATACATTAAATTAATTAGATTTTTTGAATTATTTATTAATATAACGATATTAAAAAATTGTAGAACACAATTTATTTCGTTAACATTTTAGAGAGAACTTTAAAATATATGTATTTTTTTAACAATATAAAATAAGAAGTGTTACTTTTTTTTCAAACAAAATATATCTCGAAAATAATGTAGCATATTTATTTAAGAAATATTTTATTCTAGAATATTTAATTTGCATTCAACTTAATAAGAAAAAAGTCAAAAAAATTAAATGTTTTTTAAATCATAGCAATAGAAAATGAAAATCACTAATAATAATAATAATTTGAAATTGGTTTTTATTTTTATTTTAATTAAGCCATCAAAATGATGTATCATCCACATCAACTCATTAAAGTCACACAAGCAAAAAAAAGTCAAAGGGATTAACCGGTTTAAAAGGTAACAAGTTACACATTGCTATAATGGGTAGATTTTTTAAAGTACAATGCCTTAATAAAAAATAATTTGAAAGTACATTGTTGTAATAAAGAAAAACAAAAGTAAAATGTTATAATAATTTTTTTTATAAAAGTAGGTTGTTATTTAATGCATTTAACCCATCACAAACGGCGGTTAGATTTTTTATGAAAGGATTTAAATATCTTTACAGATGTTGAAAAGTAATATTTTTACACTTATTAAGTTATAGATGTTGACAAATAGATAACTTGTCACGAAAGTTTTGCAACGAAATATTGAAGGATCGGGAATTTGTGATTTTTGTCGTTGTAATTTATTGTTATTTTTGTTCATATCGTTAACGCATCCTTTTAAGCATAAGAGACTAAAATTAGGGATGTAAAYGAATCGAGTCGAGTTAAGTAGTAGGTTATTCGAATCGGACTCGGGAAAACAAAATCAGGTTCGGACGACTCAAGCTCGAATAACTTTTCCAATTTAAGGCTCGAGATTTTCAATTATCGAGCTCGAGCTCGATGCTTGTTTATGGGCTTGAAGTCATGATCGATTAACTTGTTTATAGGCTCGGTTTGATAATTTTTACATTTTTACTATATGATTTATGAACATATGAGCATTTTTTGTTCGAATGGCTCAACTCGACTTAAAAAGTTTAGTCGAGTTTTTGGATGAGCCGAGTTGAACATTGATGTTATAAAGTTTGACTCGTTAAGTTAAACGAGTTTTATTTTCTGTTCAATATCAACTTGAACTCGAGAATTATATATTAGGTTCGAACTCAAGCTCGAGTAGCTCGTTAAAAATCTAACCCGCTTACACCCTTAACTAAAATAACAAAGAATTATAAGTCATAAGGATAAAAAAACAATAAATTATAATAATGAAAATAACTGTTAATTGTTAAAGGAAAAAACAAAAATTAGAATTTTTAACAAGCTCAAGGACAAAAAATGCTCTTTATCTACACTATAYTATAAAGCATTTGACAAAAATTCTTAAAAACCATTTTTCATGCATGAAGTATTGTATATTGATGCATATTACTTAAAATTCAAGATTACAAGTAAATTATGCTAAGTACAACTTATTAAAACTCAATATTTGAATTCGTGTAACTAACTACGGATAAACATAATCAAATAGAGGATAAAAGTCTCATTTTAAAATATAAAAAAATCTAAAATATAATTAGAATAATTATTGAGTTATAACAAAATAATTAATTATTATCTTTATAAGAAAATTATATTATTAAACCAGATTTAAACTAATTCGTTATTGAAACTGAATTAAATTATAATAAAAAAATTAAATTAAAAAATTACATAAAAATAGAAATTTTAAATAGTTAATTTGATACTAATATCGATATATTAT